TCTAGTCGACATAAAAAAACGATTCGGGACTTTTGAAAAGTGAAAGATAAAACAAACTTGAGGGAAGAACACAAAAATTTTGCTGCGGCTTTTGCTTGTTTTTAAATGTTTGCCTTTTGCTCTGCGTCGTCGCTCGCTTTCGGTCATGGCGCAGCTCTTCGGGGGGTCGGACAACCCTCCGCCGGTGTTCCTGATTGGTCCGGTTCAAATCGCGTTAAACGCACGTCGACAACTTTTGGAGGGGCATGGTGTTGGTTGGGGGGCTCCGGGTCCTCTGTGGTGGTTGGCCGGGGACTCGGCAGAGGGCAGGAAGAGAGGAGGGTAGCAGGGGGTGGGGGTTGGTGTAGAAGCAGACGGCAATTTTGGAATGAAATTAAACGAGAGCAGGTTATTTCCTCCATTCGATTAACATCACTCGCTCGGATGCCGACAGAGGCCGCTTCAGTCGACGAAACGCGAGGAAAAATACGGGGGAGCAGATTACGACCTTTTAAAGCTCTGCACTGCAATGCGCTCGCAGACTGAAATGGTCCAGTGAGAAATGACCGTCAAAACGATGTCGCTTCGACATAGTTTCGGCCCATGTTTGGTGTGTTCGACATGTCATTTCTCACTGGGTATAGTGGTTGAAATGGCATCTTTGGACATCACGTAGTCTAGTGCATGTACCTGCGCAAAACCCAAATTGATGTTAATGCTAAATTTGTGAAGCAGGATTCGACTGTTAATACGTCGCTCGGTTTCCCCCGCAGTAGTGGGCAAAAGGTCAATTAGTATCGAACATTTTTTCTATTTCATTTTTATTATTTTCTGACTGTGTATCTCTTCTTCCCATGGAAGGGCGACCCGCGTGCCGTTAGAAGGGGCACGACGTTCGCACCGGGAGCAGGGGGAGGCGCTAACGAAAAACTAAGAATAATGAGCCAAAGTTTCTCTCCTTCTCGACCTGCTCTGCTGGCTGACGACCGATAAGTGGGCGGGCACACGGCTGTCGTTTTGTAGTCGGCAGCGCGTGCTGTACTGCAGCAGTGAGCTAAGTGCGCGAACGGACTGGACTGTACGTGCGTGCATGCGTGCGTGCGTGGGGAACGCATATACACAGAGTTTCGTGCACCAGCTGTTTGCATTTACTCGGACGCTTTATGCGCGTGTGTCCGCCCCGGCTCGGCCCCAGGCCTGGCCTGGCTGCTCCATAGGTTCTTTCTTATTATTATTATTTCCCATGCAGCAGCGTTGTGCCCTTTCGCACCTCGCGCGCGGGGCGACGCCGCCGTCCACTTACCGCTCGCAAAAGGCCACGAACATCGACAGGTTCGCTCTCTGTGCTCCACTCGCCCGGCGCCTCGTCAACTTCTGCTGCTGCTGCTCACTGCTGCTGCTGCTCACTGCTGCTGCTGCTGGTGGTGCTGCTGCTGGTGGTGCTGCTGGTGGTGGTGGTGGTGCTGCTGGTGCTCCGGCGCGCGGGACTACTCTCATGGCCGCGCCGGCACCCCTCCCTAACCGTTCTAGAGTGAGTGGAAACCAGAGAAGGACTTGAATCACATTAGCGTGGCTCATAACCTCCCCCTCCCTCCCCCTCCCCCCGGACGCCACGCGCCGCCCTCACGTGATGGCTGCTGCCAATTTTGCCACTTTTGATGGATTGGCCATGTCTCCCGGTGCGCTGCGCGCGCGTCGCGGGCGGGCGGCGGGGGGAGCCAAGTTTGCGAACGGGAGGGAAATTACCGTGCGCACTACTACTTCCTGTCCTCCTCCCTCGCGCTTCCGGCGGCAAGACGTCTAATAATAATAATAATGAGGA